TTCACCGTGGGTATAATTATATTATTAGCTGCGCGCGAGCGCGTGTCTGTGTGCGTAGGGACCAATTTGTCTTGGAAAGCAACGAGCGCGAGTTGCAATGCGTGATTTATCACTGTCGCCGAGCGCACACGTATTTTTGTTTTTCTTTTTACTTTAGCTGACTGGTGCAATTTTCGAGAAAAGAGAGTGAGAAACCGAGGTGCCGCCTTCGCGAATTCTCGCGCGTATTTGCTTTTTGCAGGCACCAGTCCCATGGCGACTCTCGCGCCTGCGAAGATTATAAGTGTCGTGTATGTGCGCATTGCCCGCGAGAAACTGTCTCTTATGTAAGCTATGCAGCTTCTTGTATGCGTTCGACTCGATTAAATTGCTGGAAAACGGCTTCTATTAGCAGTCGGATTATCGCGTATTTAGCACTTTTGCTTATTTTGCTTTTGTTAAATTTCCGAATTTGTCTATCGTGTTATTGAAGATATCCCATTGCTACTGCAAAAGAATCATCCGAAAAACATTAGTAAATAGCCAAATAATAGTACTTATTATTCAAGATTGATCGCTGAAGTGGTGTAAGGGTAAATCACATACCAAAGTCATTGCATGCATACGAAATATTGAGAGATTTTAATTTATCGAGATAATGCTTGAGCAACGACAATGATATAATCTGCGACTGTAAATAACACGCCGTTTTCTGAGTAAGAGAGTATTCATACATGGCCGTTGTAATTACACCGTAAATATATATCAAAGTACACACTACCGAGGATTGATGCCGTAGCAGTGGTGGCAGCAGCAAGACTGGGTTGCCGATTAAAATCCAACAATTATAAACGCATTACACGAACACTGGAGCTTGCACAGCACTGTGTAATCACAGGCTGTCGAGCCTGTACAAATAGACACATCTCAATTAAATCCCCACGTTTAATTGACGCCGCGCGTGCAGTCGCGGAATGCGGGCGTGTTATGTTCGTTAGCGTTTTCTTCTTTCTTTTTCCCTCTTCTGCCTCAACACCTGCGCGCATCTCGCACATTTTTTTTTTCACGCTGGGAAAGCGTGTCGTCACACCTGTTGGCACTCACGCGAAATTTCCAGAGAGTGAGAAAGAAAAGAGAGAACATTTTAATTGGTACTTCCACGAAGAAATGCCGTGCCCTCGCGAGATCAGTCAAGTGTTTCCCAGTCGCGCAGGCTGCCATTCCGATAAACTCATTCTTTCTCGATCGTGACTCGCAATCCCATGAGAACAGACTAATTACGTGCTCGGACGCAAGAATGCGCGACCAAGACGGAGACACCGAGGCTGTCGTCGTTATAAATATTTTCGAATCCACCTAGCAGCTGCAGCTGCTTCGTAGCTCGAAACTTGTGCGTAATTCACGATTAGTCTACGAGTAGCCAATGAGCGAATTGAAAAAGTGAAGGTTAAAAACGCCCTCGCTTTTAGACGCGGCAACGCCATTGAACTTAAGGAGTAAAACTTCAATGTATACTACCTTCCACGGGGTGTAGTACCTTCAATTAATTTTTAACAACCTTTTGATTTACGAGTAGGGCGTAATTTTTAATCTATACTTCGAGTGAGCGTTTTTAATTTTCCGCCAAGGCGCGTTGTTAAACAATTAAGCGTGTTTTCGATAATGACGCTCGCTCTCTCAAGAGAGCCGAAGAAGGTTAAGCGAGGAAAGTGAAGCTTCATTATCGTGTCGGCGTAGCAAACGAGGAGGAAGCCGCTTATCAATTACGCCGATTTATTCGCGGCCAAACCGACAAGACAGCTTGTGAGCGGCTTTACGAGGCGCTTGAACATAAGGCGCATCCCAACACAGCAGATAGTTAACTTTTACTGTAATGTAAAATCTGTCATTTCATTATTTCGTTGTTATCTAATGATTACATTTTTTTCCAAATAAATTGATGCATTTTTATAATAAACTAAATATTTTTTTTAATTTTGAATCCTATACATGATTAATTATTTTTAGAAGGAGATCTGTAATAAATATTATGCATAACAGAAATACCATAAGCAAATCACACACTGAGAAAAAAAAAAGATTTGTTGAAATTACTGCAATCGTAATTGATTCAATAAAATTAATTTATCAAATAGTACCTATAAAATTATTCTATTAATATAATTTGTATATTACATTGATGCATTGTAAACTCATAATTGATGCAGTTAAATATCATGTTATTTTGAAGAAAAATTGGTAAGTTTATAAATTTATGACAACTACAAAAAACTACTTCATTTAATATTTCATGGTAACGTAAAAATTAATTCGATCACGAAAATGAAAGTAACTGCAGTGATATAATACGTAATTGACTGTAAAATATGTTTTTTGCAACATATAGAATAAAAATTTTCATTGATTTATGAGATCAAATATTATTGGAATTATTAAATATTTTGTTTTTTTTATATAATGATTTTGCTAAGACATATTTTCTTTCTAGTATATTTGTGTTGTTTACGCAATGAAAAATTCAATCACATGATAAATTAAGTACTAATACCTAGATTTGAATCAAATTAATATTTGTTCAAATTTAATATTAATTTCGTTAGACTATATTACAACAGTAAATAAATCATGGATACACTAATTAATATCATGAATTGATTGAAATGATTTAGTAATTTCGTCAGAGGAATCAAGTGTTTTTGTATATTTATTAATTATCTAGGTATTAGTAATTAACGTAAAAAAGAAGCTATTTTATTGATTTTATAATTCCATTGCATTCATGCGAAAAAATATTCAAATTATTTAATTAAATATTTATTTGTATATTCTATCAATAAAATATTTGTAATTTCAAGGAAAATTGCATTAATGGAAGTAAATAATTTTAAAGATTGAACAATATATTTAGGGCTGAAACGAACCTTATTTAATCAACGATATCGTAATTATTTCAATTCATTTTTCTTTTCAGTGTATGAATCACTAAATAGAATGAATAAACATTTCATTCAATCCAATGAATGTTCTACTGAATAGTATAAATTATTTTTTGTATTTTACCGAAGATTTTATCATGCGACTCATCATATGATTCTAACAAATATTATATAGCATTTAAATCAATTTATCTAAAAATTATCAGGTCATTTGTTTGAGGCAGCAGATTAATCAACGACATCCAACGACATTAATTCATGTAAGTATACTGAAAGAAATGAGAAGTTGCCTCAGGTACTCGACTTGATAATTTTGAGATAAAATTGACCTCAGTGTATCGAAATGTTACTGAAAGTATAAGACTTATTTCAGCGTATTTGCAGATCTGATTGAATAAATAATGATTTATAATACAATAAATGTTTTCATTAAAGCACCACTGACGCAGTGCTGAAATGATTAAATATACAATCATGTGATATATTGATTGAGGGATTTTCCTTAACCATTGTTTGTATATGAGATTAGTAATATTTCGAAGGAAAATAAAATAGATTATAATACAATCATGTGTATAAAATAATTTTACTAAAAATATGTTTCATGTTTTCAATGTAATGATCTTAAATATCCAATAAAATATTCATTAGAATAATATAACGAATTACATGATAAAATCCGCGTTGGAATAAGTAAATATTTTATACCACTCAGTAAACCATTCATTGGATTCAATGAGGTACTTCATTAATTTTATTGAATGACTTATAGTTAGTACAAATTCTTTAAAATAATTCAATAACTTTACAAAAATGATTAAATACTTCTTAAATCCCATAAAAGATTTAGTTGTCTGAACTGCGTGTACACAATGAAATTCATTTTATTTTTATTTCAATTAAATATTTACTCTTTTTAATAAAATATTTAGTAAATTAAAAAAAAGCGATTTTATGACTTCAAGTAAATAATGAAGAATTCAACCAATTTTGTTAAATCAATTAAATCGTAATTGATTCAATAAATTTTGTTAGTCAGTACAGAAACTCCAAAAAATTAAAATTATTTCAATAACTTCAAATACGAAATCGCATTTGCTGTACAAATTTAAAATAAAAATATAATTCGAATAGCTGTAGTTTTTTACATTGAGTTTCTTTAGTATCACTAAATGTTCCTTAACTCAGTTGATTAGAGCGATTACATGAATCATTGTGATAACGGTTCTTAACTTTGCATCACAAATTTTATAAAGATAACATCTGTTAACAACACAATAGGGGGTTCACATGAGTTAATAAAGACTGACTGATTAAAACATTGGTTTTTTGACGATTTTGATTTAACAAAAATTTTTGCTTGGGCATTTCGTATTTATTTCTGTGAAATGTTACGACGGATTTCTTTATAATTTTATTTCAAATACTTTCAATTTCTTGACTATTATCTAAGAATAATTAAATTGGCAAAAGTAACATTTATTTTTAAGTAATATACTATTAGACAATATTTAACCAAATAATCAAACAATATGCATCAGTTACTATTAATAAAAGATTTCCTTTGGGGTAGATTCTTAACATAAGCTAGTCTCAATTGCAACTTATTTATAAAACGTTGATTTGAGCACTTTAATATTCATATTATTGAGAGTGTATAATAAATTTCACAATGCTTAGATTTGTATTTGGGTGCAGATAAAAAATCATTTATAATAATATTTCAGTGCTAGCACAATTGTAGGACATCATTGCTCTATATTCCTTGATGAAACTTGAGTTTTCAAATTGTAATAGTAATATAAGTAATTCTGTTAAAATTAAAACTTTTAATATTCAATAAATACTAGTGACTTCATATTCCAATGATTACTGTTCGTGATATGATTTCATTTCGTTATCACTTTCTTTTACATTGAATCGATGAGAGATAAATAAAACAGGAAGAATCGTACGTAAGTTGAGTATATAATCATTTGTTAGTGCACGTGCGATAAAAGATAAGAATATATCTATAAAAGAAGCTTTATAACCGAGTTAAAATACACAGATAAAAATTCATGATTGAAACCGTAACACATTAAAATGGTTTGGCAACCCGCTGGATATGATGGAAACTGTAGCGGCAGCTCGAACAATCAGTCAGTGCCATTAACGCTTGTATGCTTTTTAGTACAATATTTTGGAAGGTCCAACGATGAGATTCCAGAAAAAATATATGGAACTCAAAAAGTGAGTCCGACACGTTATGATTTTATTATTGTTGGAGCTGGCACTGCTGGTTGCGTAGTCGCTAATCGATTGACTGAAAAGTTGAATTGGAAAGTAAGTAAGAAGTAATTACATGAAAAAATAAAATTGTTCTAAAAATACATAAAATTTAGTAATTACATATAAAACGTGTTAAATGTAAATTTGCAGGTATTATTGTTAGAAAATGGCGATGAAGAACCACTTGTTACTGAGGTACCTGAATTACAAAGATTCGTGTTTGATAGTAGTATTGATTATGCTTATTCTACAAATGATACTAAGCTTGAAGTGTATAGACGAGGTAAAGTTATGGGTGGTTCCAGTTCTATTAATGGGCAGGTATATGCACGTGGGAGTAAAGCTGATTATGATGATTGGGCGAAAAGGGGAAATAAAGGCTGGAGCTGGAAAAATGTTTTACCTTATTTCAAAAAGTCTGAAAATGCAAGAACTCCCGCTGTAAGTAACTGTTTTATTATGTACTTAATAATTTTCAGTTTATCGACACACATTTGATTACTTCATAGATTCTTGCTAATTATTCTCAATACCATGGGGTCGGTGGATATTTAACTGTTGAACAATTTCCAATGGAAAATGAAAACATATCAACATTTATAAATGCCTTCGAAGAAGCAGGACTGAAGGAAACTGACTATAATAAAGGCGATCAAATTGGTGTCGGTCGAATGCAATTCACGAACGTTCATGGTTTTCGAATAAGTTCAAATGGTGCATTCATCAGACCTATTCGAGGAAAAAGATCGAATTTATTTATTAGACCAAATGCTCGTGTAACCAAAATTATTATAGGAAAAAAAACAAAACGTGCAATTGGAGTCGAATATGAGATCAACGATAATGGCAAGGTAGTTAAAAAACAAGTTTTTGCTAAAAAAGAAGTTATTGTATCGGGTGGTTTTATAGAATCACCAAAATTGTTAATGCTATCAGGAATTGGACCTAAGGAAGATTTGCAACAGTTGAATATAACAGTAATAAAAGATTTACCCGTGGGGTTGAATTTACGCGATCACTTCACAGTACCAATGACATTGGTTTCACCATACAATGATTCTTCAATTGAAAGTGACGAACAAATAAAAAGCGATTTGTTCGAGTGGTTCAACACACACGAGGGTCTTCTATCCTCCAAAGGCTTTTTAACTATTGAAGCGTATTATCAAACAAAGTATGAAAATAAGTCAGGAGCTGCCGATATCCAGTATGAGTTGAGAGGCGGAAAAATAGGCAAACCTCTCGGGAACGTAACAATTTATACAGTTCTGGTAGCACCTAGGACAAATGGTTCAATTACGCTGAATAAAGTTGACCCAATAAGAACGCAGCCTGATATTCGAATGAATTACCTTGCTGATGAACGGGATGTAGAAGTATTGATCGAAGGCTTGAAATTTACTAAGAAGCTTGCTAATACTACAACTTTGAAAAACCTAGGTTTCAAATTATCTACTGAACGAGTATCTGGTTGTAAAAATTTTGAGTTTGAGAGTGATGATTATTTGAGATGTTTCGTTAAGAGAGAAGTATTACACTGGGGCCATGGAACGGGAACCTGTAAAATGGGACCGAGAAGCGATTCTACTACAGTGGTTGATCCACAGTTAAGAGTTCATGGTATTAAAGGATTGAGAGTTATTGATGCATCGATCATGCCCCAAGTTCCTAGAGCCAACACAATGGCTCCAACAATTATGATTGGCGAAAAAGGTAGTGATATGATTAAAAGCTATTGGCTGTGATCAAATAGTTGAAGTATATGATCTTTCGAAATAGATAAATAATAATTGTTATCCGTCTGGTTTGAATTATCGAATTAATTGGTTGTAGCGGTATAAAACAATTTGACTGTTTAACTTGAAAAAATAGACACCTAATTAACAGTTTCAATAAGCTTCTACGTATAAAACTAGACAATTGAATAAAACTATTAATTTCGTGAAGGAAATGATATACTTTAATAGAGAATGTATAAAAAATCCTGTTGAATGTAATTTGTCGATTTGTCAGTTATCTGGTAAAAATAAAAATAAATTATTATGTGTCGAATGAAAACTTTTTCACTTTATTATTTTCCCATGACCGTAGAAGTCGACCGGTGGAATATAAAAAAACAGCGTTTTGAGAAGGTTGCGTTGCAGGTGCTAACGAAAATGGCCCACTAATCAGAGAGAGAGGGAGAGAGGCTCCCATCGAGTAATTAACAGTCATAATTCTTTCCATCCTCTCTTCTTCCTCTGACGCATATTACACGGCTGCCACGCGGATACGCCACGCACACGCGCACGCTCGTATATGTATGAGTGAAAAAAAGGGTAGGCGGTGACGGCGGCGGCGAATCGAAGGCCACGACGCAACGGCGCTAGGATACTTTAATGGTTCTACGAATGGCCTTCTGCTCTTGCGGAGATAGCACATAAATTCGTAAGTGTCGGGCTGCTGCTGCATGCTGCTGCTCCAGTTGGATCCTCCTCGCGAGGCTAATTTATATTCGCTGGAGGATCTGTTTAATGGACATTGTCTAAGTCTGCACGCGCGCACGTGTAATTAGGTAGCTGGCCAACTGTGCGCAAACTGCGAGCGTATAATTCGTATATTGTGTTTTCCTTCTCTTGCGAGAGATGAGATGGTGCGTAAAGTGGGCCTATAACGAATGCGCAATTAATTATGGGGAAGAAAGAGCTGTGGGTTGAAGCATAGGGTGACAGGTAACGTGAATATAATGCGCCATCTCCTGGCGCAATTAAGTCGGCGCTGACCGCCGCGCGGCCGAAAAGCCGAGTCTCGGCAAGAGAAAGATAGAAATCTGTTTCTGCGGCGAGCTTCTTATAACAACCTTCAAGGTAGCGTTAATTTTTTTCCAAGGGATGCTCGTGTGTCCGTGTGTCTGTGCGTGGAAGGACTCTCGCTCGTCCGATACGCTAAATTAAAATTCCGCTCGAATTTACACGTTTTTGCGATTTCGCTCGGCCGAAGAAAAAAGAAAGGCTCCACGGCGAAAACGGGACTCTCTTTTGAGAATGTAAAATATCGGCATAATGGCGATGTAAGGAAGCAGCGAAAGGAAGCATTATAAAATATCCGAAGCCCGATGTTATTGCGGTCTCGACTCCTCGATTCACTGGGAGATTAAATTAACTTCCAAGTCGCTACTGCACATCCGCGCGTTCTCTCTCTCTCTCTCTCTCTCTCTCTCTCTCTCTCTCGCAGCGCGCGCGTGGACAAGCCAGAGCAGAAGTATATAAGGCTTTTTTGCATGGGAGGAGATCGGAGAATGAGAGAGGCTGCGAGATGCCGGAGAGATAGCTTTGCATCTGCCGTGCGATAATTGGGCGCTCGCTCGCGCTCACCCGCGCCAGCCAGTCTTCTTCTTTCAGAGTTGCGCGCGCTCGATTGATTGAAAAGTTCATTGAATTTAAGTGGAGCTCGCGCTACTCGAGCGTCATTATCTAATTAGAGGGCGCGGGTATGAAAGCCGATTCCCCATACTGCGCGTAGGCCACTGCGCATCACAAATCGTGTTTGTCTTTGACCAATGCCGTGCGCGCGATACTCAAACTTCAATTAGCATCAATCACTCGTCGAGATTCAAAGTTCGCGATAACATCGACGGCGCGAGCCTTTCGAAAAGTGAGATTTCTGCCTCTATAAATGGAGTGCTTGGAAAACACGGTTTATTTTTTGTCTTGCTTTTCCGCTTTCCTTACAAATTATTTACTTGCTGGAGATAAATAAGCATAATTAGGAGATGAAACTGTCGAAAATGGATTGAATCGAACTCTTGTTCAAACCCGAAGACTTGCTTTTTCCCGCTTAAACTGAAAGGAGCTCGAGGAGGCTGGCTGGCCTACTCAAAGTCTCAACAACGAGGGCTGTCGCGCCTTGGCTCGTCATTAAAAACCCATTTAGCCCGGCAATTCGTCAACAAAGTGCCTCGAAAAATTGGCGCTATATCGGAGATACGAGAGAGCAAAAAGCGAGGCGCGAGGCGCCGCTGCAGAAAATCCGGGCGGCGCGTTAAAGCATCATTTGCATGTTTATATCGCGACAAAGTGATAAGGCGCGCGTCGAGGTCCAACGTGAGAGTGAGAGAAAGGTGGCACACTGCTCGCCCACCACGTAACCGCTCGTTTTAAATTCATTAGTGTGTCGTGCGGGCGCGCGAAAACGTGAAGCACGGAGAGTCGAGCGTGGAGGGCTTGGCAAAAGTGAAAACTCGGCACTCTGAAAATGAGGATAATGAATTCTCGTTAGCGGTATCGGGTTTCCTTGCCAATCGTGGCTTTTTAATCTCGAAAATTCAATTCCGAGAAACAGCCAAGAGCGAGTCAGCGTGCGTTTAATTAAAAGCTTGCGCGGGAGCGCCATCGAGTCAAAGAGCAAATTTATTCTCCGGCGTTTTCGCGTAATTAGAAAAAGGGCCATCGGAGCGTATTCGAATGGCCGCGCGCACGCGCGCCGAACAAACTTTCGCGGCTCTCTCTCTCTCTCTCTCTCTCTCTATCGACACCGAAGAGAAAAAAGCGAGACAAACGAAAAGGTTAAGCCGCGACCTCGGCACACCTGCTCTATCTCGGCCAAAGGCTTGGTACGCGCGAAGCCGCTCGAAATCCTCCCATGCTGCTGACCTTATCCGCGTGACTGTACGCCTGGCTTGTCGGGCGCAGCACAAGAGAGGGCTTTAAAGCGGAGGCGCCGTGACCATCGCACCTGCAACACTAAAAATCAGGCGCGCTTGGTCGGCCTGGGAATCGCCGCTTGAAATTTGTTATTTTGTTTGGCACTCTAGCGGGCGAATGCTTTTATTGATATTGAGCCAGCGCTTTGCAACAGTAAATTTAATTTTCGGTATAACGAATGCCAGTGCGTTTCTGTCTTCAATTATACCGTGTAATTAGAATTTTCGACGGCAAAACTTTTCTTTATGCTTTAATTAACTCGTTAGCCACAGAGATGTTTTTGAACGTTGCTTAACAAGAATGTTGTTCATCAGCCACGTAACAGCATACTTTGAATTTAAAATTCCAACTTACCTCAACGAAATTCTAAATTTTTTTTCTCTCTGTGTTTTGGTTTGTGAATAGAGACTTGTTAGCTGTAAAAAATTTTCATCGTGCCCGATCTTAATGAAATCTCCAGTTCGTTAGAGAGACCTAGCGAGCGGCAATTGTAGCTAAATAACATGCGATCTTTATTTGAAGCTTTCCAATTGTTTTTCGTGAATATCTCGTTCTACGGACTCAGTTTGTCTGCATCTTAGTAAGTTTCGTTTGACAGAGAGCAAAGTGTACAATGTACATTATTATCCAATTATCGTGAAACTCTACAATTGATGTGGACGCACTTTGGTGTCCATTATCGTTTAGAAGATTACAATCTCGTGGCAGGCTTTTATAATTAAATTTTAAGGAACGCGTATAGTGCGCAGAGCTCGAACTGAGTAGAGCGCGATCGTCGGCAATCTTCAAAGGTTTGTAATAAGTTCGACGTTGCCTGAAAGGTGTACATGTAAATGATTTCTACAAGCTATAATAATAACAATATTGAAGATTGTTTATGCGTTGTCCGTTCCATTACTTATCTATTGGATACTATCATAAACAACATTAATCAATTCTTTATCAACTGTATTTATCTACGATATTACAACAAAAGTTTTACTGCTAATTATCTACTAATTTATAACTCGACATTCCGTAGGTTATATAATTGAAATATCAATAAAAAAAGAGCGAAACTGTTAATTTCCATCGGCGTCGGATCGTTCCGCTTCGCATATATCGTATATACGCAGAGAAAGTCGCATAATGCGACGCGGACGTTTAGTGGTAGCCAAGGTAATAATTCATTTTAGGCGCAGCAAAGATCAAAATCAATCGGGGACGTGTATAATCGCCGAAGGTTTCTCGCCCTCGAGCCCTATTCGAAGCTTTATTAAGTTGCGAGCCGTAGGGCCGCGCCGCCAAAAATTATCGATTTCGCGATCTTCATCGGCGATATCGAGGCCACAATATAGCCTGACCGCCATCGGAGACTATAAGCCCCCCCAACTCGATATTGCATGCGTAACATGCCGACCGCGCTTCTTACCTTATTCCTTCGAAAATGAGAGCAAAATTTCAGATTATCTCGCGCATGCCAACGTTATTTCGAAGAACGTTCTCCGGTATATCGTCTGTGATATTAATGTGAAAATTGCGCAATATTTAGATTATGGATTCGATGCTTGCATATTTTTAGTTCTAAGTGGAATTTATTCAATTTCTCAGTCAGTGATTTCAAGTGATCACTTTTCGAGAGCTGATTATATCATTCGCATCGAGATATAATAGGGCGACGCGTTAAAAATTGTTTTGGAAAACATCTGCTGATGTTTTTACCTTACATAAAGTTTTATCCTCGCAGGCAAATTTTTCGGATTAATAACTTTTTAATTTTACCCTTTGATTTATATTAATTAAAGCTTTCATTCTTAATCAATACATCAAATAAGGTCATTACTTTCATAAACCTCATTTTCATAAAGTTCTGTCGCATAAATCATTGTTTATTATTATTGCCAAAATGTATGCCATATAATTTTCCTTATCAAAATCAACTTAAAAAAAAAGAAAATCATAAATTGAAATGACAATGCAATTTCCATATTACATCAACGCAAAGCACACACAGCCGAAGATAAACTCACGTCATAAAATATCTTTTAGCGCTTCATCGACGGTCGAATGTTTATTGACGTTTTGCGAATTGGCACGAGAGAGAGAGAGAGAGAGAGAGAGAGACTGAGAATAATAGCCTTTTTCTGATGAACGG